GGGTGTTCCTGTTTCGGGAGGGTGCGGCTCGAAATGAAGCACCCAAGGAACCACATTTGTCGCATTTTCTGCAAACTGGGGGTTGAGGGCCTGTTTGGTTTGGTGCTGGTTCCGGCGTCCCCAAGGTTTCAAGTTGTCATACAGGGAATATCGAGCCAAGGAACCGCTGTTTGTGTTTGTTTATGTACTAGCTTGTTTTGTGCTTTTCTCGAAAGAAAGCCACAAGAAACCAACCCGCAGCCTTCTCATGCTCACTGCACCTCTGAAGATTGGACGCTGAATGTTTTTGTCGCGCCTTCACAGTTGTCGCCAAGAATTGGTGTATTTTCCACAGTTGCAGCCAACAGCCATCTTCAGCCGCGAAGCGCGATGCAGCAAGACTCCGAATGATTGTACGGTCGAGAGGAAAAACGAAATGAGCACGGCTGCAAGGTCCCTGAAAAACGAAATGAGCCGCAATGAAGGGCATGCCTTCAAAGAACACCTGCCTGGGGCTTTCAAGGAAGCCAACATGACTGGTTTTTTCGAGAACGCCGTTCGCGTGCCGTCAGGCCTCCCGCCAGGCCGTGAAAAGATCCCTGGAGTTGGCCAAAAACAGGCGGGGTGGTCGATGTCCGCGAATCTGGGAACTGTTCCCAGGGAGCCAGTTGCCAGTTGCGGTTGGAAAATGGGATTCATGATTATTTCAACATATGCGACTCATATGCGCGGCAGCTTACCCAGACGCCAGAAGGCTTCGCAAGGGGAAAGAGTCTGATATAGACCCGGCGAAAGCAAGCACACAACTGGGCGAAGCAGAAGCGATTCCTTTAAGAAGCCTCGGCCCATGATTTGGTTGCTCATGCATGAACCAAGCTGTTCGATTCAAGCACCTAAGTTTCTAGAAAGGGTTGTTGTTTTGGTTTGCCAAAGCATGTAGTTCATAAGGGTCAAGCACTGTGACAAACCCCGCCCCTTTTTGCTACCCCAAAGAATCCACAAGCGACATGCAAAACAGCTGGGTTTGCAGGGGAAGTGGTTGAAGAATCCACAGGCCCTGCAGGTTGTTCGGGGGGGACGATTTGAGGGGGAAGCATGCCAATTTTGACCCCCAGGTAGTTGGAACATGGCTCATATTCCGCCGCGGATCAAAACGCAGTTTTCAAGCTTAGGCGCCAAACAAAAGCCCACGCACGCCAGCCAAATGGAAAGCACACCCGCTCAGCACTGCACACACGCCAGCCAAATGGTAAGCACACCCGCTCAGTGCTGCGCACATGCCACCCAAAAGCACACCTGCTCAAGTGCGCCTACTCAGCGCTGCACACACACCAGCCAAATTGTAAGCACGCCCTCTCGCGTGCACCCGCTCACGTGCACCCGCTCATCACTGCACATACGCCAGCTAAATGGCAAGCACAGCTGCTCAAGTGCACCCGCTCACACGTCAGCCGAATGGTAAGCGCACCCTCTCAAGCGCAACTGCTCAGCACGCACACGCGCCAGCCACATGGTAAGATATCGTAAACATACCCGGTCAAGCGCGCCCGCTCAGCACAGTCACAGCAAGAACTCGAAAGAGGGTAGCGTGTGTGCAGTGCTGCGCGTGTGCACTTGAGCGGGCGCGCTCACCATTTGGCCGGCGCGTCTGCGGGCGGTGCTTAAGTGTCAAAAAGCAGCGCACTGCGCCGTTTTCAGCAGTGCATCAAAGTAGTTTCCGGGAACAAAGTGTTGCTTTTGGCTGGAAACCGCTGCAAGCAAATAGCCTGCTTGAGGAGGACGTGTCAGGAGCATAGAAATCAGTCATGGTGCGATTTTCCAGACAAAACCTGTGCTCTTTTGAACTCGCCACAGCGAATTCCTTTTTGGATTCATGAAGGCATATGAGCCGTGTTCCTAGTTGCGGTTTTGAAAATGGCACAAAGGGACCCAGGCGCAAGATTTACCAGTGCCCTGTGCTATCTGCACCTCCCCCCTTCCCCCAGTATCCTATGATTTTGTTGTGAACATTGGCCCCTTCGCCGCATGCAGGGCACGAGTCGCGCCAGGCAGTTCGAAGAGGCAGAGACTTGCCTCGCGGAACTTGCCAGCCGGGGCCCAAAGGGGGCGCAGAGGGGATTCGGAGCCTGTCACAGGCAGGAGTGGGACGTTTTGTTTCTGGGTGTGTGTTGGTTTGGGGGCTTGCAAAGTGCCAATTTCTCGGTCAGACGGCGACCCAAACTAGTCCATCTATCTCAGCCGCAAGAAGTACGAAGGATGCCATGAAATGGACCGTCCTACAGTCCTACATGCTGAGACTTCAGGTTCAAGAGCATCAGGGTGAGCTAGTAGACATGGTAGTGGTCTTGAAACATGATGGTGGTGATGTTGATGAGAAGGAGAGCAACGAAGATGAAGACGAGATATGAATGCTGACGATGGTTGTAAAGGGTTTGCTTTGGCAAGCTGATGCCCCGGAGGGGATGCTTCCAACTGCTGTGGACGATGCATTCGCCATTGAATGTTTCTGGTCCCTTCAATTTCAGCGCGAACAATACTGCAACTCTTTCGCACTGTTCACCACACGTGCTGGGCACGGGCGCAGCAATGTGGCCATGGGCATTTTGGGAATGTCATGACACTCTGCGGCCTCGCAAATTCATAATGCGAAGCGACGGGACTCGCTGTGGCTCACAGCTCACAACAGTTCACACCGTGGCAATTTTCCCAGGCAGCTCAGTTTACTTTTGAACAGATAGCTGTTTTTGCATTGGAGGGCAGAGTGCTCTGTGTGTTTGGAGCAAGTTTGAAACTGCGGGCACTCTTGCATCACAGGCATGCGTGCCCACCGCAGGAGAACGCCCCGACTTCGCGGAGTGCCGGGAGATGCTGGCCGCCTGGGAGGCTCGAGCCGAAAAACATTGCCACCGCGCCCAAACGGCCACGCGGAGCAAAAGGGCTCCAACGTTGAGTTGGGGAGATTAGCATTGGGAGGGTGTAGGCTACACATGTGTTGCAAGATTGTGTTTGTGTGTGTGTGTGTCCCCGTATCATGCTAGAGGGAGCGATGTTCTAATAGTCATCATATGCACCGTGCCTTCGGCGAATGGCTCAACATGGCGATGCCAGTTTAGGGAAGACCTCAAGCTCCAACCAGGGACTGGGCAAGCCCAGATGTCTCGCTAGCATTAGGGGTACACAAGCGCGGTTTGTTCACGTCATAAATAAGAACAGCGACGGGGGCTTCAATTTGATACCACCAGGCAGAACTCTGGCCTTGGATTTCCTTGCACAACAGAAGGATACCTTCAGTTCTCCAAACCAAAGGGTGAGTTCTAACGTCTGGGTCTTTGGGGCAGGTGCCCTCAACGAGCCATGCAACGCACACCGCGGCTCAGAATGATCCAGGTCTACATCTAGCAGCGACTCCTCCCTCAGCCAATCCCATTCACTCACGAGATACATAGCTGCTATCAACATGTTCTGCCAGCTTCCCGGTTCAGGGTCGACAAACGATAGAAATGCAGTGCTTGCATGTTCTTAGACTCACAAGAACACGCGCCAACGCACACACTTCAGGGAACCTAGAGGCAGACGGGATTGCACAACCTTGGCTGATGGGGCGGGTGCCATTGTGAACGGAAGCAACCTTGGTAGGGCCTCTCTGTGCGCAGCCAATTTTCGGAGAAAGAATAGCCCCAGGGCAAGAGATCAATTGCTTCTCATTGGGAGCCCTGTTCATTTCTTCTCGCGCAAGGTCCGTGCTTGATCGGCCTTTAGATTCCTGGAGAAATGACAACGAGCCCTGAGCAGCCAAGGTCCTCTGAAGGTTTCCCAGGCTTCCGAAGCGTGTTGCGCGGGCCCTTTTGGCGGTGTTCGTATATCTTTACGGGTCACCTTGCAGGAGCAGTTCTTTTGAAACAGCCTTCCAGGACTGGTGCAAAGAGGGGAATCCGGGCTCAATTTGCTTGGTGCCAAGGGCTTGCGTTCAGGACCGTTTTGGCAGCTAGGGAGCCCCCAGATGGCTTGTCTCATGATGTCCCTTGCAAACCTTCCGCGAAAGGAAGGGTCCCCAGTTTTGAGACGCAGCCAACTCCTTCTCAGCAGCGCAGGCCGTGGCGATGTGCAAGCAGCTCAACAATGCATGAGAGCTGCACGAATATGCGTGAATGAATGGAGGTTCTACCCTCACTCGTGCCATCCACTCGAGTGTGGAGCACGATGTTTCATTAGTCAATGGGACTTTGAGGTGCGAGATTGCAGCAAGACTCTGCTTCGCGCAGCAGACATGAAAGGCTTTCTGCTTTGGTTTTTGACTGGTGTCGGTTATGGCCAAAGAGATGGCTGCCACCCGAAAGTGGCGTCAGTACCTGCCACTTGGCGAATTTTCTTACAACACATGGCCAACGTGTAACTCGTTTGGGGGTGTCCAACAACTTCGTAACCAATTTCGGAGGGTGTTGAAAATTTGAGCAACAAAGAAACAGCCGGTCTGGAGCCCTATTCCAGCCCAAATGCGTGTTGTAAGCTTGTGCAGAGGCCCTTTTCTGCTGATGATGTTGATGTTTCATGTTTCTTTTCGCGCGCAGCATACAGTCAGCCTCTAGGGGCTTGGAGGCCTTTTTCAGTTTGAGGGGACTTCCCTTTGGACGCCTCACCCGTGTTCTCCGCAGTTCCATCGCCTCGCGTCTTGGCTTTCCGCATGCCGGCCAATCAAGTCTGGCACTGGCAGGCTTTGGGGTGTGCAAGTTGGAGCCATTTGTCTCGGTATCCAAGGGCTTGCCCTCCGATATGAACGCCAAAAGGAAAATGACTGGTTACCTGTGGTAACTGGGATTCTTCATTTGGAGCCAACCAGACGAGTTGCTCACTTGCAAACAGCAAATTGTTTGGTCATGCCGCTGGATATGATTGCCCGCTTTGTTCTTGGGTATATCTGTTTAAAGGACATGTACCATTTTGGGTTTGCTGCTGTTTGACAGGGACACCAAAGGAATCCGCTCATTTTCGTGGCTCCCCATATCACTTTGTACCTGCCTAAGGCTTCAAAGACTCGATCCAAAGTGCTCCGAACTGTGCGTGCCATGGACTTCTAACAGAAGCCAATGCTACTTGGCAAGGGGTAAGTTGAAAGCGGAGCAGCCTGACTCCCAAACGGCTTGATTTGGAATCAGTGTGGCTGGTTTCCCCCAAATGCAAAACACGAGGTGCCCAAATTCCCAAAAATGGAAAACGCACTGAGGGTGTCGCCTCCCAGCTTGTCTCCGCGCCGCCCCCGCTTTGGTGACGAGGCCACACCGGGGCCGGGATTCGTGGTGTCAGGGCGCCGCACCGTGTCCAGTAATTCGGGGCCTTTTGTTCGAGGGAGGCTGACATCTAAATAACCCGTGTTTCACTAAGCTTCTGAGGGAAGCGGAAGATGCTAACATGATGGAGTCGTTGACTCGGGGTCCATAGGAACAGCTTCGAGCTCATGTCGCCCGATGTGTTGGCCGACCGCTTGGGGGCACCTTGCGCGTCTCAGGGCCCAGAAATCTGCGGAGTCTCCGGCGGAACCCCATTTCACCACCCATGAACGCACCTAGTGCCTTGGGGGGATATGTCTGCGCGCGCCTGGAAGGCGGTGAAGTCCGTCCTCACGGGCTGATTGGAGTTCTCCAAAGAAAAAGTAACGAACATAGTAAGACCCCAAAATGGGGGTTTTCATTGCGTCCCTCTCTTCGGTGAAAGGGGTACCCGCGAAGAAAGCATCTTTTGCAGTGCCCGGACGTCAGGAAGATCGGGGTCGGCGCAACAGCGGGTCCATCGACCGCTTCCGAGACTCCTCACGGGCACGCCAGTCTTCCAGGAGCGAGAAATGGGGATGCGGTTTTTGGAAGCTGCGCGTTGCACCTGTTTGGGTGTGTCTCTTCTTTTAAGGGTACCCTTGTGTTTGGTGGTTTTGACGGGAAACCAAAAGGACCACCATTTTGGGGGTCCGCTAACACATACGCTGTTCTTTTCCACTTGGCATGTTTTGTCTTCCCATGTCGAACATTTTCCAGGTCTCCAAGCAGCAAATGCTGACAGTTGCATATGCCCGAATGTGTCCTATGTTGAAAACACGCAAGCTGAAACATGTCAAGTTCGCTGGCGAGTGACATAACCTGATTCGAGATAGATCCTCCAAGCATCTCAATCCCTGGTCTTGGCAAACCTGCTACGAGCCCCTTGGTGAGTGGGAAATGTTTGGACAAGTCATGCTGAGTAAGCGTTTGTCAGTGACAACAAGCTGTTTGCCAAGCCTGATGCTTCGATCTGGCACTCCTTGCGTGGTGAATTTGTCTATCATTGGAATCGATGACAAAATATCCTAGTGATTGTGCCTTGCCCGATTCGAAGTGGAAGAAACCACTCGACATGTTCTTGTGGAATCCCCAGCACTCAGCAAACAATCCCGCCAAATGGATAGCTTATCCGAGCCAGATGGCATGTGCATCCACCATCTGGTCAGTGGCGGGCTATGAGCAACCCCAAGAGGGCCAGTGACGTTTCTCCCCGTTCCACTCGGCAAGCAGGAGCCAGCCGTGCACTTCCTCAAAACACCCAGCCATAGGTTTCATCAGTCAGCTCCAGGAAAGTCCAGCGTCCGGTCCCCGACACCAGGCCGCCGGAGGATCGCTCGCGGCTGTCCTTGTCCAGGCGGCTTTCACCCTCAGGCACGGCTCGGTAAGCCGGCTACGAAAGCTACTGGGGGTTGTGAGAGGTTGTACTTCGGGTGGCATATGATGCTTTTGTTCTGAGCATTCAGAGTTATTTTCCACTGTCGGTCGCATCCTTGGTCGAAATGTGAGCTGTGTTCTGTGAAGAGCAGAGTTTGGCATCGGCTAGGAGGCTTTCAGTTTTGAATCCCACTACCGGTGGAGTGGCCAGCTTCCATTTGTTGAAGCACGCCTTTGGGACTTGGTCCTTGTTGGTTCTTGGTGAGCCCTTGGCCACGCTGAGTATTGCGCTACATTGCGCTTTTGGCATGCGTTGTTGACTTTTTGCATGCTGTTTGGACGACCCAGCCAGACATGAGCCAATCAAGTTGTGCCCTTGCTACAAGTTTAATTGACTGATATTGACTGTTTGCTCCGAGGGGACTCTTGGTGCATTCGACATCGGACTACTGCTGCCAAAGCTGGGTGGCAAAATTGCAGCAACTGTGATTGAGTCAATCACGAATTATGTTTTGGGCATCCAGGGCCAGCAAGATCCTTGGCTAGATTCCCCATTCAGCGACCTTCCTTCAATCCCGCCAGAGAAGTCAAAGTGAGAAGGGCTTTGATGGACACATGAACATTTGAAGCAGTACGACAATGCTGGAAGCAGACACTTGTCACTGCAACATGAATTTGCCGAGGCATAACACGTGCAACCATATCAAATGTTGCTGGATGGTTCACCCCATAAAAGCTGAGTGCAGCTCTAGCTTAGGCGAGCAACGGAAGCCAGGCTTTCCCGTTTATCAGGGTTGATCGGGCAAGTGGGCAGGCAGCCTCGACCTCTCGCCAAAGAGCAGCGAGGCAGAGCCGTTCTTTGTGTTTGCCACGCGGTTGTGATTTACTGAGTAGGCCACACTGTGAATCCTTCCCAACTTTCCGAAATAGCAGCCTTCTATAGAAGGGACGGCAGCTTTGGCTAGCTGGCGGCAGTGGGGCGTGGCTGAAGTTCCTTAGACCACATCATTGTTTGGAAGAGGCTTTCAGAAGCCTCCAAGCGAAAGTTACAAAAGGCTGTGACACAGCGCTTCTGCTTTCTCCTCGGTTTCCCGTTGAAAGCATCTCAAATTCGACAGGCAGAAATCATGGCAGGCTTGCCACTGAGGCACTGATGGGCGTCTCAAAGTATTGAATGGTTTCAACATGTGATTGCGGATCATACGGGAATCATGGACATGAAAACCACACAGAAATGCCTTGTCATGCAGTTCATGGGAAGGGTTGCCTGTACCAGTGTTTGAGGACATTGTACCATGATACAGTATTGCCGTCTGCCAGCTTTGCACCTATTGTGAATTTGCACAGAGGAATATGATTGCCCTCCCCGCAGTCTCCTGAGCTTCAGAAAAGCTTGCCAACATTTGAAGAGCAACACCAAGTCCGCACCAGTACCCCCAGTACCCCCAAAACAAAACAAACACTGGCAAAGTCCTTGCCAGGCTGGCACGCTCTCCAGCCAGTTTGCCGCAACTGCCCACCTCTTCGAATCTGGCCTCAGTCTAGGCCTGTCTCCTTCAGGCAGCGCCTTGCCCCGCACTCCAAGTCGGCACCGTGACGATGCCAGCGACTACTCAGATGACTTTGAGGCACCCCAAGCGCGAGCAACGACCATGAGGGCACCTGGGATTGGGGTCAGACCAGGAACTCCTCCTGCTCGACCAGCAACGCCGTCGCAGCCAGCAAGGCCAGCACCAGCAGCACCTGGCGCACCTGCAGTGCCAGCCAGGCCAGCGCCCGCCGCACCTGGCGCACCCGCAGTGCCAGCACGGCCAGCGCCCGCCGCACCTGGCGCACCCTCAGTGCCAGCAAGGCCAGCCCCCGCCGCACCTGGCACACCCGCAGTGCCAGCAAGGCCGGCACCCGCCGCACCTGGCGCACCCGCAGTGCCAGCAAGGCCAGCGCCCGCCGCACCTGGAGCACCCGCAGTGCCAGCAAGGCCGGCGCCCGCCGCACCTGGAGCACCCGCAGTGCCAGCAAGGCCAGCGCCCGCCGCACCTGGCGCACCCGCAGTGCCAGCAAGGCCAGCGCCCGCCGCACCTGGCGCACCCGCAGTGCCAGCAAGGCCGGCACCCGCCGCACCTGGCGCACCCGCAGTGCCAGCAAGGCCAGCGCCCGCCGCACCTGGAGCACCCGCAGTGCCAGCAAGGCCGGCGCCCGCCGCACCTGGCGCACCCGCAGTGCCAGCAAGGCCAGCGCCCGCCGCACCTGGCGCACCCGCACCCGGTGCACCCGCCGTGCCAGCAAGGCCCGCATCAGCAGCACCCGGTGCACCCGCAGTGCCAGCAAGGCCAGCACCAGCAGCACCTGGCATAGCAGCGGCCCCAGCGGCTCCTGTTATTCCTGGCTTGCCAGCGAGGCAAAGTCCTGCTGCACCCGCACTGCCCGTGGCGCCCGCAGTGCCCATGCCAGCACAACCTGCGGCTCCTGCACCTATACCTGCAGTAGCTGCCGTGCCAGCACCCCCCGGTTCTGCATTGACTCCTCCAGTGCCGCCTTCGCCGTACCCAGAAATCCCCAGTGTGCCTGGTGTACCACTTCCCCCACCGCCGCCACCGCCGCCAGATCCAGCCATGGTGGAGGCAAAGCAGGACAATGGTGCAATAGTTGCCACATCCTGAAAGCATGGCTTCAAGTAGTTTTAGAACACGGAATAGTCATGGACATACCACCCAGGTGGACAAACAAACCCCCACTGCCCATTCCAGCAACTGCACCTTCAGCATTCCGCACACGCTGGCGCCTCAGGACGACGAGGCGCTGCTCCAGATGTTGGGGGACTCCCCGCTGCGGCGAAGGAGCCGATCCCTGAAGACCTTGCGCCGTGGCAGCCGCAAGCTGCAGGCGATCCTAACCCAAAGTTGAGCAGATCGTGGGACTTGCCCGGATGGTACTCCTACAAATCACCAAAGGCTGTGCCTTGCAACTTCCACCAGCCAAAACCTATAGTTCAGCCGAGTGCCCTGACCTCCATATCCAAGGCAACGCCGAATTGTTTCCATCGTTTCCGGAAGTGAACTGATTGGTTCCACATTTACTTCCATTGTGAAGTTCAAAAGCTTCCCGATACGGCCTGTATATGTTTAGCATGCCGTCATCCCTTCCAATTCAGGGGCTGTTCGGTCAAGCCGAGTTCGGCTTATTTGCGGCATTGGGCAATCCTTGCCTTTAACTTTACGCTCGTTGTCATGTTGGAGCCCGCACGAAAAGCAGCACGTCCGCAACCCGCAAGAGCTTTGCGCAAACCTGAGGCCGTGAAGCCACATCCCTCCATCCTTCCCGATTTGTTGGACACCTCGCTTGTGCAGGCATGGTCTATAGGCAAATCTCAGGCTGAGGGCTGAGGTCCGATGCAAGTTCACTTAAGATGAGGCATCTCCTGCCAAGGGAATCTAGTTCAAGGAACTCGCAGCTGTTTCGGGTCTTCCACACCTCCTTACCTCCAGTCCAGACAGAACCTCGAGGTGCAGCACTTTGGTTTGCTGAAGGCTCAAGTTGGCGTAAAGCTCCGAGACCGAAAACCCGCAGTCCCGCAGGTGGTGGTGCAGCACCGCCGCGAGCTGTGCAGCGCCATTTGCGAGGTGCTGCAGCTGCCAGACCTGGTGCTGGACGCCGACGTCGGGGGCCCGGCAGATCCGAAGCTTTCGGGAGCCGGACGAGGAGCTGGAATTCTCCGATGAAAATGGTGCCTTTAGGGCTTGCTAAGGAGCTACCAGGAGTTTTTTGTTGGACATGGTGGCCAAAGAAAGAAGGAAGGAGAAGATAGCTTAAGGGCTTTGGAGTAGAGCGGAAGGCTTGCCCCCAGGCCTGCCCGGAAGGCCAGTGTGTCTAGTTCACAGCAAGCTGGCGAGAGACTGTAAATATGTAAATGTTGGGGTCAGGGGTCCGTCGTCATTCTGCTATTTGGATAGCATGGTGAAATGAGTATAGCTGCTCAGTTCCACTCAGACTTTATTGGTTGCAGAAGAAGCTTGGCCACGGTCTTGGCCTTTCTCTTGGCTGACTCCACGCATTTTGGGGCACGCGCGAATTAATGATTCACAGCCTCGTCTCCTCTGCTCGCTTCACCTGCGTATGTTTGTGCGAGAGCCCCCTCTTTGCCAAAACTGCAAAAACCAGAACGAGTCACCGGAGAGCTTTGCGGCTGCCAAACTGAGTAGGAAAAGCTGGGTTGACAGATGCGGTCAAAGCCCTGTAGGAGTAACCGAGACTGGGGTTCCTATCAGAAGGATTTCGTTAAAGGGTTGGCCATGCTCAATAGCCACCTCGCGCTGCAGTTCAGGTGACCGTCGCTGGGGTGCGCCTGAAACGCGGCATGCAGCTCGCGGCTTGACAGGAATAGCAAAACAATGGAGAAAAAAAGCTCGGAGTTGCGCGCGATTCTCGAATCACAGATTTGTGTTGTGCCTTGTGTTTGTCGTTGCTTGCCTTGCTTCCTTAAAGGGCCCATTTTTTTCTGCCTTTCCATGAGGGGGTACAGTACTTCCATTTGCTTAAGAATATTTTGTTATATTCCCTTGTTGGTTTTAAAAGGAATATATCACTACTGGAAATACTTTATTCTTTTCAGGGGTCTTAACCAAATGGAAGGGTATAAAGGCAGCAGGGGGTCCTTTCAGGGCCCCGGTGCTTTGCTTGAGCGAGGTGCCGCCGGCTGCCGCGGGCACGGGCCTGGCACGGTCCAAGGAGCTGCTGCAGCGGGGCCTGGAGAAGGCGGTGAAGCTTACCTTCGCCTGGCCGGACCGGGGGGTCTCCTCCAATCAAATTACACGTGTAGAATATATACATATATACATACATGTATATATATATATAGCTATAAACCCATGTATTCGGCTTGGTGTTCCGAGTTTCTAGGAGATGCGGAAGGGCCAGCAACCGAACACTAGTGATAACTTGCGTGTAGATTTACAATGGGCGCGGAAGGTTTGCGGAAGGGCGACGGAAGGGCAGTTTTCAGGAGAAGTAATTTTGCACAACCGTGGTGGTGGTTTTAAGCCCAAATATGACAAGGAAAACTGCACGAGTGAACCGGGAAAGCACAGAACGATGCTACTTCTAGGCAGGTGGTGCATGAGGCATGTGGGGGGATGTACTTGTAGCTGGCGGTTTCCAAAGTGTTGCTGCCGTTTAGTCTGACGACCTAGACCCTTTTGGTGGATGTAAAGCAAGACGAAAGAGAAAGAGACCAGAGCAGCTTGCTCCAACTGGATGCAAGTTGTGTGCATCGCCAGGACCATTTGGAGGACCCCGCTTGAGAGGAACGAGAGTCGGGGGGCAGAGACTACGGCAGTGTTGGCACCAACAGCAACCAGCAAAACCAAAAGATCACCTTGAGGTACGCCACTTGGCTTTGCTTTCCACTCGTGTAGCTTTGGGCCACCTGAGTTTTTTTTGGTTGTGGGACTCTCATGGACTTGCGGCGGCTAGTTCCGAACTTGAGGCAGAGAAGACAGGCATCGCGGTGTTTCCCTTTTTGTTCCAGCATGTGCAAGAAATTTCAAGGCCGCCTTTAGGCTTCCCATTCCCATACACCTGGCAACTTGTCAAGCGCCTCCAGCGGTTGGCTTTCTGAGGCTTCCGCTTCAGCCAGCATGGTGCAGTGCTGGCAGCGAAGTTTCAATGTCTTGAGAAGATGTCACAGCTCTATTGCAGAGCCCTGCAGAACTTTTGGCCCATCAATTCCGGTGGCTGTCAAGACTCTCTGTGTTGATGGGACAGAGCCCAGTCCTATGTAAGGTGAAGTTGCTGGGGAGCTTTCGACAGGACCCTCACTTCATGGCGCTACCCTGGAAGTGCCCGCAGTGCCGCTTCCCCTACTGGGTTCAGGCCACTTGCCAGGGTCACAACCAAGATTCCAAAGGACACATGGCCAAGAACAGGACATGCCTCCACAACGAGCCAAAGCTTTGTGAGGTTTGGAAGGGGATGACAGTCACAAGTCTGGAGCCATTGAAAATACTCATCATTTCTCACCGCGCTTTGTTTCAGACTTGGCGTGTGCATTGAGCCCTGGTTGGGAGCCGCTCGTGAAATCCTTGCCTAGCGGCCGCTGATCCAGTTGCAACGATGCAGTCAAGTGCGCGCGCGCTGCACAAACTCACGGTGCGATGAATCGGGCAAGTTGACGGAGCTCCCCAGCACCACTTTGAAACAACACGTATGGCGTGAGGCAAGCAGCCTCGCCAAATGGTGCATACTATCCACATGGTTTGTTTCCAACGAGCTCTGCTACTTCGTTGGTTCAGGTTGGCTTGGGAGCATGGCCAGCTAGAAGAAGAAAGAAGTGAAATAATATGAAGACAGAAAGATCATGCCTTGTTATATTAAGATGCCTATATCATGGAAATGTGTTATGTTGTCTCTGTATTGGTTTCTTGGGTTGAGACTACAATTAAGAAATGGTATAAAAGGCAAACATATCAAAGTTATGTTTCTTACACGGATGAGATGGGATAAGAAATAGACATTCATGATGAAGAAAGGAAATGATAATATATTTATATCTTCTTATCTCTCGTTCATATCATGTCAGGTTAGGTTGGTTGGCATATTAGAGTGTACAATATGTTGAATCGGCAGGTTTGATAGTCGGCTGAATGTGTCAGGCGCCTGAGGCGTTGTCCGGCATCTCTTTGCTGCGGAGCGCCCTGCCTGGCGTGGAGCAGTATGTGGCCCCACGGACCAAACTGAGCCGAAGAGACGCAAGAGGCCCCCGGAAATGTGGATTTTTGGCGCCCGTGCGTGATTCAATGACAGGATCTCAAGTGCGCGGGCGTGGAGTTGGTCAGCCCGCTAGTAACGGTTTGGATCAGTTTTCCCTGCCCGATGCATTATCCGGGTAGCCCCTTTTTTACAGGACATCAAGCGTGGCAAAAGAGCTGCGCTATCAAGGGTTATGAGCCCAAAGTGTTGATCGCCCTTTGGCCATGGACGCGGGGATGCGGAGGCGAAGGGCGAGGTCGGTGGATGCAGTGACCATGGAGGGCACCATGGTGGCAGAAGCCGCTCTTCAAGAAGAAGAACGAGGTGGAGAACCACGGAGAGGTCAGCGGCAGGAGGTGGACGTAAACCCTTTCTGGAGCTCACGGGCGGTGGATGCAGCAAGGCTGCGGGCAATGAGGCCGGAGGGTCTGCCCAAGGTCCCGGACACCGTGAGCCCCCAGAAGGTCGAGACAGAGATGGACGCTTGGGGAGGTGTCGGTGGCGCTCCTGTCTTCCTGGGCAAGAGCGTGATGGAGTTGGTGGCCACCCAGATGCTGCTGGCAGTAGGACGAGAACAGAAGAGTTCTGGAGCGAGATAAAGAGGGACCTGACAGCGGACCTGGAGAATGCGGGAAATGCCGGAATGGCCAACGGCGGCGAGCATGGTCTGCGCAAAAAAGGTCGACGTCCAGGTGATGGGCATGAACGAAGCGGAGGTGGAGCTCTACTACATGGGAATGGAAGAGAGCCACCGCATCATGGTGACCTAAGGCCGGGTGAAGGACAAGGGCCATCGGGGAAAGGAATCGGAAGGCCTGGAATCATGCGAGGGAGACCTGTGGAACGTGAAGCCGAACTACGCGGTCCAGGCGGGACGGAAGGCGGAGTTGGGACCGGACCTATCAGCCAGGAGGACCAGGAGAGCGAGCCTTGATCTTGAAGAAGCTCACGGACTTGGGCAACCTGAGGAACTATACGGAAGCGGCCACAGCACTGAGGGAATGGCGGAGGTACTACCTGCGGGCGCAAGAGATCGGGGCTACGCTTCCGGACCCTTGCAACTGCGATTTTTCTGCACCTGCGCCTTCACCTCTCCGCGAGCTGCCGCCCAGCTCGCACTTCGCTACCTTCGCCGCCGGCTTCGGGTTTGGTCGGCTCCCCCCATACGGGTTCCCCGGCTTCACAGTGCAGTCTGCTTTCCTGTGGGTCTCGCCCCCCCCCATCAAGCGTCGCGCCGCCTTATCTGTGACACCTTCCCAGTCGTGGGGCCATTTGCAACTCCGGCCAGCTCTGCAACCATTCTCCGAGATGAAGTACCTGCAGTTGTTCGCATCCTTCTTTGCGGGTCCAGGTCCATGTTGATGACTACCAGCATGCTCATTCCCGCCACTCATCGCTTTCACCTTGGCCACCACTCCTTCACTGGCCGTCGCTAGAAGCAGCTCGGAGTAGCTCCAGATCCCCAGCGATGTTGGCGCTGTGTCCAGTCCCAACTGAGATCTCGCCTGGGCTACCCTGAACGCCTGCGTTCCACCTTTGTTTACCAGTTGAACCACCCGCCAGCAAGGTCGGTGGTGGAGAAGCCAGCAACATGGTTGAAAAAGATACTACATCGGCAACCGCGACTACTACAGGTGGTGGAACTATGGCCGGTGGAGCGGGCAGCGGAACGGGGGAGTTGCTAGCCGAGGCGACCAGTCTCCTTCGATTGCTGAGGTTGCCGTCGATGAACGCGGTGATCGTGATGAACCAAATGGGCAAAGAAAGTCGCGGCATGGGCCTTCTTGACGGAGGAGCAACGCATGCACTCAGGCCTGGAAAAAGCCAGGCGGAATGGAACCAGGCCGAGATTGTGGAGGTGCACTTGGCGGATGGTTCGAGCACAAGAATGCGGAGCAAGCCGGGAACGTTGACGCTGCTGGCAGAAAAGGGCACGCAGGTCATTGCGCCCATGGGAGCAATGACGGAGGTTGGCTACATGGTGACATGGTCCAACGGCGTGTGCGCGGTGACTTACAAGGGCAAACCGGTGGAGGTATGTCCTATGGTTGAGGAGGACGTGGCCCTGGAGATGATAGACCAGATGGAGCACAACAAAGCAGAGCTCAATTGAAAACTGGCGATGCTGAAGGGCCAGGTGGAGTCAACCAAGAGCTTGACCTATGAGGAAGCCATGCTGAAGGCGCTGAAGGAGTTCTTCGTTGATGTCCCGGACAGCTTGTTGGCAAGATTGGTGGTCACGCAGGAGTACGACGTCATGAAGCTGCCGTGGAACAGGCGGAGGAGGAGAACTATTGAGAGAGCAGGAAGAATCCACTTGCATCTCTTCTCGGGCACGGAAAAGAAGTGGGCGGACATGGAGATGAGCGAAACGATCATGATCTGGATAAGGTGAACAACCCTGGGCAGGATTTGCTCAACGGCGATGTCTACGGCTACCTCATTGCCTTGGCGAAGAGTGGAGCTGTGGTCAGTGTGATAGGGGGTCCGCCCTGTCGCACTGTGTCTGCTTGCAGATCAAGATCGCCAGGGCCCAGACCGGTGAGGAGCGAAGAACATCTATACGGGTTCTCGAACCTCACGAATTCCGAGAAGGAGATGGTAGACGGGGACTCCGTACTCTGGGGACGTTGTACATCGTGGCAGAGGAGACCGCGAGAAGACGGAAACTCCCCGCGGTGGCGTATGGGCAAGAACAGCCTCGGGACCCTGGGGACTACAGGGTGGACATTCCGAAGGAAAAACTGGTCAGCGTTTGGCGGTTCCGGGCGTGGAAGGCATTTGCCAAGCGGTACGAGATGGAGATGATCCACTTTGATCAAGGACCGCTAGGGCACGAACGAAGAAAGCCGACGACAATAGCCACCAATCTGGAGCAGATGCGGGGACTGGGGGAGGGAAGATGAACCGGCCACAGTAGGAAGTAAGATCGCTAGGGAAGATGAACCAGCGACAGTAGGAAGGCCTGACGGGGAGGAAGCCAAGAAAAAGGGCCTGAGAAGATTGGGCAGGGAAGATGAACCGCCCACAAAGAAGTCCAAGGCAGATGAACCGGACTCAACCCTGGAGGATGGCCGCGGGACCGCAGCTGTTTTGGATAAGAACCACTGCCCATCGGGCTGCCCTCCCAAGCTAGGTGAAGTTCAGGCTGGGATCATGGCGATTGGTGCAAGCCTTGTGGCAAAGGCTGAAGGAGCCAGAGCCGAGGCGGAGATCTCCTGCCCGCAGCGTCATGAAGAAATTGTGGGTGGGGCCGCGAGTTGGCCAGGACGACTCTGGGGTGAAGCCTGCAAGAAAAGAGCTCGACGAGGTCGATGAGCAGCGGAGCAGGAGTTGGTCGCAGGAGAAGGGGCTTGAGCGGCGGAAGCCAACTTCGATGAAGCTGATCGTTGACGATGTGGAGGTGGAAGTTAAGAGGCAGAAACATGGTCCCGGAGGGGTTCATGGAGTCGCCTGGAAGGTGGAATCGGCTGGATCAGGAGGTGGTGCAGCTGGAAGTGGAGAGGAGGTTCGCATGGAGTCTGGAGCAAGGGATGAGATCGAGGAGGAGGGCGGCAGCGCAACGTCATCGGGGGCACTGCGCAGGCCTTCGTTCAAGAAGTGCAACACGAGTTGGAACCAGTTCCAACACGACCACGCCGGGCGCGGCTGGTCCATGGACTTCATGAGGAAGAAGTACTACGAGGAGAAGTACAAGAAGGGAAGGTAGGTTTTTGGGTCGTGCCGGTAAATAACCCGGCCGGCGGAGCGGCACATTTTTTACAGGACATCAAGCGTGGCAAAAGAGCTGCGCTATTAAGCCCTGAAATCAGTTGAACATCATTGGAGCATACTACGCATGGCGGACTCCTGAAATGAAGAAGATGCAGGTGTGGGATTTGTTGACACTTTTGATAGGGATCAAAATTTGGGGAAAGAAGAAAAAGCTTCACTGCTGAACTAATGTATACTAGCAGCTGCCGCACGCGTTGCCTGTGATACTGTTTGCGTATGGAGGTTTAGGGTTAGCCCTAAATCCTAGAAGCATCACACAAACTACATACTTCATAGGGGAGTTTAATCAGAATGTACCTTGGATTATACAATCCTTGGATGCTTTCCTTTTGGGTCTTTACAGTAAGATAATGTATCCGACGATGAATTGAGATGCAAGGGAGGGTTTCAGTTGGTTGACCGTACTCTAGACGCCTCATATTATAATTGTCCATAGTTTGTAGGGGAGTGGAATTAAAGTCTACTATGGATTATAGAGTTCGTGGATACTTTCCTTGTAAGTCTTTAAAGATAATGTATCCGCTGATGAAATAAGATTCAAGGGAAAGCAATGTACTCCTAGATGCATCATATAATCGCAACAGTTTATATATAGGGGAGTTCAATCGTTTGCACAAGGCAGGGGTTCAGATCAGCCAAATTCAAACAAGGCTAGGCATAGGGTGCCCTTCATGGCATCGGCCGACGAATCGAGCGTTGCAACGCCTGACAAACAGCATGGACCTGGAAAGATTTCAATCATGAAATGCCAGCACTCACAAGCTGAATTGTTCGTCTCAACTCCGAACATGTTGGAACCAATGGGCAACTCGCAACTCCTCACAGTCATCTTTGGGCCAGCCGAAGCAACACCAACATCGCTCGCGCAGGGGAATGCAAGGTCCTGTGGCCAAGTCGGAGTCTAACCCTGGTTTGAACCAGCGGCCAGCGTGCAGTTGGGTAAAACGAGGTGGCACATCTCCCCCAGGATTTGATCACGAACTTCACCTTCCTACATTTTACGTGAGTTGCGCAATCTACTTGCACTCTGGTGCACTTTCTGCACCTACACACGCAAAAAACAACGAACGAGCCGCCGCGGCTGAGGACGGCCCTGCGCGGGATTTGTGGGCCCTGAGCGGCCTAGCGCGCAGGGAGAGCCTCACGGAGCACCAGCTCCGCGAGATGGACAACAGTTTCAGCGCGCCCCGGTTTGTTGAAGTTGCGAGGGATCTGCCTCTGTTCTTGTGCCGAAAAGGCAATGCCTCACTCACTGTTTGATACTTTGTGGGGTTGGACCATTTTAGTGGCAAGCAAAAGTTTGGATGGTTTTTGGCCAGTCCACTCAGCAAGTGAGATACCGGGCTGTGGTGTACTTTGTGTTGGGTTTTAACTACACACGTTTCAATTAGCGTGTCGGTTCAAGGTTGGAGCAAGAGATCCCTTTCTTCTACCAGGGTCACTGCAGAGGATGGTTTGCATGAGGATTTCTTGGGCCCAATGCGAGCTTTTGGCCAGCGTCCGTGCCAGTTCCGTGCAGAGGCTTCGATCCGTCCATCGGCTTTTTCTGAGCACCCCACAAACACAAAGAGGAGGATACTCATTATCCAGTGAGAGATACTCACATGTGTTTGCATGGCCTGGTATGTAGTGATATAGGCGAGATGGTCAAGCGTAAAGAAATCCGAAAACAATTGATGCAACATCAATTGGAAGACGGATACAATCCAATGGTCAGATTGGGACCCCCTGGGACAGTACTGGGCAACTGGGTGAGTATTGCTTTAGTTCCGATTCAGTACTGGTTTAGAACTTATTTGCATGTGCTACAGCACTGGCTTGGATTTGAGTGCATTGGCTCAGTAACAGTTTAGCATTTTCTAAGTTTGTATTAGCAATGATGCAGCTTTTTACTACTGCACTATGATTGGCTTAGAGGTGGCTTCCATGGTATGGTTGCGAGTCGCCAGTGTTAGTTCGGTACCTGTTTCCCTTCTCACCAAAGAGGCTCCTAAGAAATTCCCTTTGAAAAGGACATGATCTGCAAAAAAACCCAGTCCGGTTCCATGTCAGGGAAAGTATCGGACGATGGATTGCTCTTTGGCAAGCTGGGCTTCAGAGTGCGTCAGGTGGCCATCTGACTTTCTGATCACAGTTCTCAGTTTTTGGAGTCAGGTTGAATAATATTGGATCAATTATGTTTATTTGAGTAGTGGCCAGGAGACATGCTGCTGTTTCAACGACAAAAAACGTTCATCTATTGACTGCCACCTGCCCCTTGTAATTTTGGCGATGAGCATTTCTTGTGGGAGACCAACTGTGATTGTATTTTGATCACTTCATTTGCAGCATGACCTCGTGTGAAGTTCTCTCTGTTCCCGAGTCACTTTGGGTGCCCTCAAGCCAAAGTTTGCCAGCAGCCCTTGCTATGCGCCAATAAACAACTGTTTGAGCCATCCAGCACCAAGCGAACATGAAGGATTCTTCCCGTCGGTGTCCTTTTTCGGCTGTTTGGTTGAAAATGCATGGCAGTGGTTTCAGTTTGTTTCTATTCCAGTGCCGTCCATGACTACACAAGGCTGGGGAGGTGACTTTGACATACTTTCATGGTGAAAGAAGCCTTCAGCCTCCTTTCCCTTCAGCCTGCCACTGGGAATTGTTTGACAGTTCAACTCATGGGGACACCGGGCACCGGCCGGCAGACTCGATGGTGGTTTCACCAGGCCGGCAAGGTGCAGTGCAGCGCTTGTGCCAAGCGCCTCACTTGGAGTACGGTGAACTGTTGCTGGGGGCCAAGGAGTGCGATGCGAGAGGGGAGCAAGGCATCCCCCCCGTTCTCGGATGGCTGCGGGAAAGACAAACCATTGCGCTAAAAGCGGAGAATCGGGGAAGTCGGGGAGTAGGGGCTAGGGGTGGGAGTGGTAAAGACAGGGGCGTTCTTGGCTTATGAGTCACCCCGCCAGAGGCTTGAAGGACCACAAGTGGATGACTCAGCGATGTGGTCACTGATTTCTAAACAAAGGGCCAGATGAAGTCATTCCAGGCCAACAAACAAGTAAGAGGTGTTGCTTCGTGTGCTGATAAGCGCCCTAAATATCAACCGAACTGTGATTTGGCCCATTCTTCATACGTACTCACTTGCACCGTTGTCAACCAACAAGTAACACGCAACACGCGAGAAGGTTGAAGTCTCAATCAAGAGGAGTTCTTGTCATGGCGTGAACAACTCGCACTTTGTCAACCAGCAAGTAACAAACACCATTTTAAGCAGATTAAAGAAAAGCCTCAATCAAGTTGTTTGAACAGGAAGAGTTGTCCATATTGTCCTTTAAAAGACGATCATCTGAAGAGATGCACACTAGGTGTCAACCAACACGATTGGTTAGATGGATAGGAGTGCTTAATGTCAAGCAAGGGTTGTTGCTTGGTGCTCGGAGCATGAGCAACTTGCCAGGGTTGCTCATCAGACAAACGGATGTTGTTACAGCTGACGAAGTTTCGGGGCTTGTCATCCCAAACTGGAGGAAGATAGTAACCTCACATCAGGGGCTGTGGGTTGCAGCACCTCGAAGCCTTCAACGTCTTGTGTTCCACGAAACACCACCCCCCCCCCCCTCCGATGGCCTGCCAAGCTTGTTAGTAGCCCAATGGATTTGGATTTCGCGGCATGCTTCAGTTGACCTGTGCGAGCAACGCTGAGGTCTGCTTTGTGGCCTCTACGTTTGCCACATTTGCATCTACCGCGCCCGCGCTGATCGGAGAACGCTTTGCTGCCCAGCTGGGCCAGCTGAGGGGAAAGCAGGCGCCGCGGTCTTTATTTCGGCTGAGCACTTCTTGAAACCCTGTTTGAGATGTCAGGCTTGCTTTCATGGTTTGGCATCCCCGGCAAGATCACAGGATGCCTAGGCACAATGTCATTTGCCAAGTCTGTGATTGGCTTTGCTGACTCCGTTAGACTGCCAAGGCGGTCGAAACCAAGAGTGTGTCGTCGGGCATTGTGTTTAGGCTTGGCCCATGGGGTGGTAACAACTCGGCCGGGAATTCATGACAATTGAGGCAGTGCATGATTTGGCCTCTTGGCGAAGACATATTCGGCATCCATGCTATCCTGGCCAGCTCGCTGTGTTTGAAAACAGTTCCATGTCATGCGCCGCAGATAGCATGCTACGATTGTGTGTGTGTGTGCGTGTGGTTTCGAGTGCTTGGCATTTGCCAGATGTTGTCCCAGACAGGCCCAATTCACGCTGGCAATCAGACTTATCCAGAGAAAAGTGTGCTTTTGCTGGGTCAAGTGGGGCCGGTCCCTTGAAAGGTGTTGAACAAAGCGCGACATCTGCACGTTTTCCCACGCAAAGTGGCCCGACTTGCAGGGGTCTACTACTCGCTGCTCTCCTCGCATCTCGAGGGCCGCTTCGATCTTTCTCCTGTCTTGGACTTCGGGAGCTTGGAGAGGCGGAGCGAGCAACCGCGAAACCGCAAGCGAGTCGGAAGCGATGCCTCGAGTTTTGCAACGTGCTCGGACTGGGCAGACGCCCTCCCTCACAAGTCTCCATTTCCAAAAGGGGTAGATCCGGTCTCAGCGACTGCCTGAGATTGTCTCAAGTGCTTCAGTGTCAGCTCCGTGCTTTAGCCTTTTGGAAAGTCTACTGGTTCTCAAAAAAGGATGTTTTGCTGAAGGAAGGCCGTTCCAAGCCTTGCTGCTCGAACCCAAGGTTTCCCTGAAAGGAAACCATAGGGGATGGTTTTTCTCGGGCTCATTCCATGTCTCATTCCCTGAGAGCCAGCAATTTCATCCCTAACAAATGGACCTTCGCATTCGCATGGCAGGTTTTTGGTCGAGGGCTCCGGGTGCCGGCTGCTTCAGCGCAAGGCTGGCCTTCTCGAGCCCTTGCGAAGCCATGCAGAGCGTCTCAGCTCCGAGTCGGACCGTTTTCCCTCGCCCTCCCTCTTGGTTTGGTGGGTTCCTTACTTCCCTGTGAGTGAGGCAACTCTGAAGGTACCGCCCTAGCCCTGGGTCTCTTATGTGCTTAGACTCTTGAGTCGACTTTGGGGGAGGCCTGAAAAATGCCCTATTTTGGCTCCGCGAGAAACTGCGAGGCCAATCCGACACACTGGTTTCCCAGTGTGAAGCTGGGCATGTGTCAAAACACGGTTTCGGTTTTCCCTAAAATGGGCTTCGGTGTCCCTTCCAACACGACAGCCCCCTCGACCTCCAGGAAGATGCGGCCAATGGCGGGGTCCGAGTCGCGCGGTCACGAGGGGGTTCCGAGGTGCTACGGCAGGGCTGCGCTGCTGCAGGCACAAGCCCAGCAGCTGCAGGGCGAGGCGGGGATTGAAGTCTCAGCCTCCAGGGCTCGTGGAGGTGTGCACCATCTGGGTTGTGTGTGTGTGTGTGTTTCGATTGTTTGTTTGTTTTGTTTTATTGCTTGTTACTTTTATTTGTGGTGTTTGCTTTGTTTTCGCTTTCTTATATATATATAATTGTTGTTTGTTTGTGTGTTTGTGTGTTTGTGTTGTTTGCTTTGTTTGTGCGTTTGTTTGTTTGCTTGTTTTGCGTGTGTGTGTGTGTGTGTTGGTTTTGTTTGTCTTGTTGTTTTTTTGTTGTTTGTTTGTTTGTTTGTTTGCTTGTTTGTTTGTTTGTTTGTTTGTTTGTTTGTTTGTTTGTTTGTTTGTCTTGTTGTATTGGTTGTGAATTGTTTGTTTGTGCTGCTTGCGTTGTTTTTTGTGTTTGTTTGTTTGTTTCTTTGTTTTGTTTTCTTGGTTGTTTGTTTTGTTTGTTTGTTTAATTGTTTATTTGCTTGTGTTGCTTGCTTTGTTTGTGTGTTTCATTGTTTGTGTGTGTGTGTTGTTTGCTTTGTTCGTTTGTTTGTTTGTTTATTTGTTTGTTTTGTTTGCTGCTTTTTACTTTTGCTTGTGTTGTTTGTGTTGATTGTTTATTTGTTTGTTTATTTGTTTGTTTTGTTTATTGCTTGTTGCTTTTTGTTTGTGTTGTTTGTGTTGATTGTTTGTTGTTTGTTTGTTTGCTTGCTTGCTTGCTTGCTTGCTTGATTGTTTGTTTGTTTGTTTGTGCTTGTGTGTTTGCTGTTTGTTTGTTTGTTTGTTTGCTTGCTTGTTTGTTTGTTTGTTTGTTTTGGTTCATTGGTTGTTTGTTTTACGTGTGTGTGTTGGTTTTGTCTGTCTTGTTTGTTTGTTTGTTCGTTCGTTTCTTAGTGTCTTTGTTTGTTGATTCATTGATTTATTCATTGTTTGTTTTGTTGGCTTTTGTTGCTTGATTGTTTGTTTTGTGTGTTTGGTGTTTTTGTTTCTGTTGCTGTATTTGTTTCATTTGTTTCATTTGTTTCATTTGTTTGATTTGTTTGATTTGTTTGATTTGTTTGATTTGTTTGATTTGTTTGATTTGTTTGTGTGTTTGTGTGTTTGGTTAATTGGGTGTTTGTTTGTTTGGTTGGTTGATTGTTAGTGTTGCTTGGTTGGTTTGTTTGGTGTGTTTGTTGTTCTTTTTTGCTTGTTTGCTTGTTCTGTGTTTGTTTTTGATTTGATTGGTGTCTTTCCGTGTTTTGCCTGTGTGTTTGTTTCGTGCTTGTTGTTTGTATTGATTGGTTTGTTTGTTTGTGTGTTTGCTTTGTTTGTTTGTTTGTTTGCTTGCGTTGCCTTGTTTGTTTGTTTGTTTGTTTGTTTGTTTGTTTGATTATTTGTTTGTTAGTTTGTTTGTTTGTGTTGCTTTGTTTGATTGTTTGATTGTTGTGTTTGCGGTGGCGGCACCTGAAACGGGCCAGGCGCTCGTTGTGTGTTTAACAGCTGTCCCTGCGCAGGTAACTCGTGTTCCCGGGGGGGGGGGGGGATTGGGATGGGTGGGCCGGGGGGGGGGCGGGAGGGTGTGGGGTACTAGCAGAGTTAAGGGAGGACACTTGCTACTCGTATTCTAGCTCAAATACACATGAGTCGCGCGTTTCGTTTTGCTCTTAGTTTGGTGTTGCTCTTGCGTCTCGTAGGTCGTGCTCAAATGTTTGTCCGCACGCAGTCCTGTCACTGTCTCCGAACTTCTGAGTTTGTCCGCTTTACCTGGACTCTTTGTTGGATCGCCTGACTCTGCCGAGTGACCTCTTGCCGCATCGCTTCCCGTTGAACTTCGCATCTCTCGGTGCCTGTTTGCCGCTCCTTCGGCCCGGTGCGGCTTGCAATGCTGCAGGAGTCTTTGTCTATTCCCTCTTCCGCAGCACCGGGTCTTGGCAGCCGGCGCATTTGCGGTTTCCCGCAGATTGCTTGGCTTGCGCTTGCACCCCGTTGTCCCTGCACCGCATGGTTTTGACTTGCAGCACCCCATACTGCAATCCCTGTGACTTCCCGTGAGCGCTCGCGAGCGCCTCCAAAAGTGCTGGTGGCATCGTGTCAGCCAGAAAATTCTATGTTTGGGAGTTCTTTAGGCGGTTGGTGAGACAAGCATTTGACATCTTTTGCTCTGTTGTTCGGGGGGTCATACACACTCAGATCTAGGCAAAGCATGCAGCAAGTATGTTGCAAGCGAAGCAAAGCGTGCGACAAGGTGCGAGCGAGCGTGCAAAATAAGAACACTTAGCAGCCCAAAACTTTGGGTAGGTTCAGTGGGCCTTTCACAGTTTACCTTTCGCCTCAGTGAAACACTCAAAATCGGACCTTTCGAGCGACCAAATCTGAAAACATCGAAACACTGGGAAAACGCACAGTTGGCCTCAAAGTCCCTTGCCTTCACGTGTGGTGGGCGCCCGGCACGTTGCAGTCGCCGCCACTGTGTTCGTGTGTTTGTGTGTGGTTGTTTCTGTTTGATGCGTTATTCCCTTTTGGGGGTTGGAAATCGAAGCCCATTT